GGATAAAAACAAATAAAGAATGCCAGGAAATTCGAGTAACAATGTTGCCATTTTCTTAAACAAATCGAAGTAGAAATAGCCTGTAACTTTCGTGAGTAATAAATATTCATTTTTAACAATTCTAACGGATTTATTATTTTATTCATATAACTCTAACATTATTAAGAATTAATATATTTAATCGATAATAAGAAAAAGTAACTTTTTAAAGTTTAATCAGTGAGAAAATCCGATAAATTCATTTCACTGCTACTACCTTTCAGCATCTTTATCATTATTGAAAAAGAATTGATTCATGATTTTATTATTATTATTATTATTAATATCTACAGTAAAAAAAAGTGAAATTACAGAAATTTCATTAGTTAAAAAGAAAAAAACACAAGCAAAAAGAAGATTTAGTGCAAGAAATTTCATTACTTTCAATACAAAAGAATGAAAACGTGCAACAATTTCTTTTGGTCTTCAATTAAAAAAGTCACTAAATATAATAGGAAAAGTAATTAGTTCCTAAACTAAAGACAAACAGCCAAAGCATAAATAGATTTTAAGCTCAGTAATTCGATGGAAGAGCTTTAGGATACTGAACAAACAACAATGTTTTACGAGTTGCATACAAAGGATTATATATCGCTTAATCTTCCCTTCTCTACTATTTTGCATTATGTAGAAAGTTTCTGATATTAAAATATTCCAAAGAAAATAATACAAGAACTTGAAGTTTTTTTTTCATTTTTTAATTATTCTTTTAACTTATTTATCAATTATTAAATAATGTTCTTCGATAGGAAATTGTGGAAGATAATTATAAAAAATTAAATCATCACTCGTCTAAAACTAATTCAAAGTTGAATAGTAAACGAATATACATATGTAATTTAATATTAATTATATTATAATAATATTTTTGTACTCTTATAAATCAAATATCAATATTCATAAAGAGATTATTCATGTATTTGTAATTGTCTTTCATGTTTTGTGAGTAAAAAAATAATTAGACTTAATTAATTATTATAATAAAATTAAGTTTATAATTAAAATCTTAAAGTAAAAAAACAATTAATAAATTTTAATTATAGTTATTTTTGAAAGACATATTTTAAATTTATGACATATTTTTTTTTGGAGCCACACCTGCATCATAAGAGCTTTTATAAAATTAACTTTTAGTTATAATTAATTAAAATCTATTTAAATAATAATAATAATATTTAAAAATGTAATATAAAAATAATTATTAATCAGTATTTTTCCGAGCGGTTTTATGGACAAAAATATAAAAAAAAAATTGACGTATATTAAATCGATTTTCTAATTTTATAACGAATTTTAACCTATTTTGACCACACCTGCATCATCATCATATTCGTATAATACTTTTAATACTTTGATGTATCATTTGCCCTTTTAGAAGTTTTAACAATTCTCCACGGTCTACCTTATTTTCTCTATAATTTCATGATGATGATAAAGATAGGGCCCATTTGACTCCTTTCCTAGACTCAGGCCCACTTATCGAGTCTTCCATCTTTAAAGATACTAGTGATTAATTATACGGAAGTGTTCGATATTTCCAATAATATTGAAAACTAACTAAAAATATCCTTCGATTGATTTTCTTTTTTAGTTTTTTTTTATTATTATTTTTACTTAAAAGTCCTTGAAAATCTAATTACGAGATAATATTTTCGCCATTCTCGCCATATTTAAGTGTTATCTTGAAAACTAAGGATGACTTTTACTCGACTTTGTTCAAAAATCGAACACAGACAAATCCTTGGACCAGAAGGGTGTGTCGCAGTAAATGCACAAATTTAGTTCAGTCAATATTCCAGGAAGATCAAAGAATATTATTTACTGGATACATTTGTATTAATCTATGTAGCTAGACCACCCCCCTCTCCTTGTTAAGATCCCATCTATCCTATTGAAGAATTAGGTATAATATATATATATACTAGTACTGTATACTAATTTAAACAGAATCAAGTATAACATCGAATGATCGTCGGCGCAGCAGAAATTATTGATTGACACTTAGAGAAACTGGGTCAGCCATTTCTTTTGTAGATAGGGAAGCGGCGTCATCGCGTCGGTGAGGAGCGTTGTCATCATTCGTATTATATATATATATATACGCTATATATAATTTTATATATATACTTGTATGTACTTGCATACGTACAAGCTCTAGCTGTTACTCGCTATAACACAGCTTAGATTTGACATTTAACGCGCAATATTATCACCTCTAAGGAACTTACTAGCTTCACATGTTTCGTCATTAATTCTGCAGATTACCTCACAGGCGGATATTTACACAATTTAATTATATAAACAATACGATTCGTGTAAAATTAGTTTAGTGTAGTCGACTAAAAAGGTTTTTGTTTATCTACGTCACGATTAAGGAAGGACCTCCCCCCCAAATATAAAGAAAAAGGGTCGAAAATTTTGAATATTTTTACGAAATAATCTCTATTTCGCATTTAACAGATTAAAAAAATAACCACCGAAACGGAATGAGGTCAATCAATAATTCATTTTACGTTTTTTATTTTTTATTTTTTTATTTTTTATAAAAATACCCGTTCTTAGAAAATATCCCTGCCAAGTAAGGCAGTGAAAGTAGAAATCATATACTGCACCTAAACAATTTTTATTTTTATTTTTATATGAGATATAATAATATAAATTTATTAAATTCGAATATTTTTTATTATGTATATGGTTAGTTTTTACATTTATCCTTTTTATTACTAACAGAAAAGGTAACTGCAGCTTGACGTTATTATCACATTCGTCTATATATAGTTCATTTATTGATTTTACCTGTGACCGAACCGCTTAGATATTGTATAAATTTGATCAGGGAAAAAAATATATATATCGTATATATTTAATGGTTTAATTTATATATTTTAGTCTAAGTTTTATGGAAGATTTCTACGGTAAATTTTTTTAAATAATCACTTTTATGCACCAGAATTTCATTTGTGAATTTTTCTTTTCTTTTCGTAGATCTTCAGTGTAATGGAATTGATGTCTCTCCTCTCTCTCTCTCTCTCTCTCTCATAAAGCACTAAGTAAGTCTAAAGATATATTGAAGATTTGATACATTGTGCCTAAGGGAGGGAAAGAATGCCACATAACAAATGCACAAAACAAGTTACATGTATTTGTTGACATTCGCTACTGTACTTTTCTCAGACTGGACATATAAATCAACCGTTATAACTATTATTCTTAATTTAAATGTCTTACCTAGAATGAATTTTCTATCTAAATTTGTTAAAATTTACCGACGGTTCATTAAAGAATAAAATAATAAATGAAACCATCAAGTATTCTAGATTATTNCCCTAGTATTTAGAATTCGACAGATGACGTCCATGGCAAGGAAGCGTGAAAACTCCCATCATCCCACGGGCGATTTCCTCACTTTTTCCAATCCTTTGGAATGCTAGCGGAAACGGAAAATGAATTCCGGAAATTGTAAAGTGTTGAGTCAACCATTTCCAGTATTATTGGTTGTTAAGTAAATTGTATATACAGTTGAAAATAGTTTACTAAAAATACGAGCAGAAATATATATATATATTAGTTTACACTATTTATATTTTTACCCAACACTGACCGAATGGACAAAAAACCACAGAATAAATGGTAGTTTTGTCGTGGGTTCGTGCCTTTCCAATTGATAGGATCACGTTTTTTACCGGGCTTTCTTCATCTGTGTAGGGTCCAGTTTACCACAGAAAGTCCTCCCAGGTGGCATACCCCCCTCGGGAGATCTCCCGCATGTTGTATTGCCTTATACAAACAAACAAAATTCAGTTTTTTTTTTTTTTAAATCGTTAAACGAAAAAAAAAAAATAGAATAGATTTTAAAAAATTCGTCACAATTATCTTAGCGATAAAATAGAATTAACCCATTCACCTTTAAGAAAGAATACGCAAATTGAACACGTTCATTCCCGTATCGAGCGAAGGAAATCTGATAAGGTTTGACAAATTTCTTCAATTTTTATTTCCCATCGCTTTCATCGCTAGGCAAAAGAAAGAAAGGGAGGAAAAAAGCGCTCCCATAACTAATAAATATAAATTATCAATTAAAAAAAAAAAATATATATATATTCTTGGACTTTACACATTAGGAACAATGACTGTTGCCAAATAATTTACAGCAATAGAAGTGGAAATTCGACAGAAGTTTTTATTGTGCTTTTGAAAAATACTTCACCACTAACAAATATAAAGAACTTCATAGAAAATAAAATATTACAGCCTATTCTACATTAGTCCAATAAAAAAAAATCACCCGAATAATTAATTAAAAATCTAGAGAGCTTTTAACTTCCCCACTTTTCTCTTTAAACCTCTCTAATCCACCCATTCTTTTAAGTACACAGCAGCTGATATGGTTCCTCGTCTCGAACAAATTGTATGACACGAGTGGGTGCCACATCTTTTTATTGTTGTCGAAATACCTTTTTTAAAAATCTTTTAACATCTGTCTTGGGCATCTGCCGAAAAAAAACACCAGCCCAAGAACTTAATATAAAACTTATTATATGCGCCAGATTAGTTATCGATGGCCGAGATAACAAAATTACTTTTCCTGTTGGCCAATAAAATCCTCTAGGGCGCGAGAATAATTTTTGACTTCCGAAACAACTAATGCAGTGTTTTCAGACAAATGAATTAATGACTGTAGTTAATAATGATTATCGAATGAGAGAAGATTAGTGTTCATTCTATACACATACGCTCGGATGCCATACTTTCATTTGCTATTCCCATAACATATCCATCATTCCGACCACTAATTTCCGCCTTAAATCTTGCCCCGTTTAGTAGAAAATAAAGTAATCAAGTAATTTACAAAGGGATAGAGTACCACCGTAAAGGAAACCGGCCCTATATACAGTTATCAAAATTTAATGCAACAATGAACCCATTAATGACGTCAGTGTATAAGATGCGGTTAAACCTACCTTAGAGAAATCCTGGTTGTTTTGAAGCGCTTCGTATACAGTTTCGGCCAAACAATTCGTTCCGGCCACAAGACACAATACAAGAAGTGACCACATGGTCCTAACACCACACACACTCCCTTCTCAACACCGTACACTATGGCGCAACGAGAATGGGACTAGCTGCAGTCAAGAGACGCCGAAATACTGCAGATTTCCCACACTAGAGGGAACCACTAACACACCCGCAGTCGCTGCATTCATAGAAATGTCTGAAGTTTCCTTTCATACTCATTCAATATGATGGATTTGTAACTGGCTAAAATATTCATTTAGTTACTACTACACACCGTATAAAACTTTCAACTCTTCTTTTTTTCTTTCTTTATATATATATATATATATATATATATATATGTTATAGAAATGCGTGCATAATAATGGTAAGCGCTGCTCCTTATCCTCTTCTAGTGAACTTGCCTATTATCTCTGTACTTAAAGAAATGAACATAACGATGCGCTTTGCCATTACCAAGACTACATTCTTTACCTTTGCACTTAAATATAAATATAATGATACGCTTTGGATAACTTTATTCCATTACTAGAATAAAGCTTACAGGTCTACCGATCTCGTATAAAACACATTAAAATATAAAAGATTACTCTGCGTATTCATGAAAACTTCTCGTGTTAAAAATATTTTAAAATTCCAAGCATGCAATTTCATTATATACAAATTATAAAAATACTTTTATAAGTATTTTTTTCTTCTCTTCTTCCTTTTAAACTACTGTTTTTCTTTATATTTGTAATGTATTTTAATCTATATTCGAAGTATTATACATTTATTTATTTTGAATATAACAGCGTAATTTAAAATTATATCAGTATCATAATTCCCACGTTGAATATTTTTTATATATTTTTTTTATGGTACAGTACATTACTATAATATATTGAAAAGAGAAAATACATGAAATGTTACACATATTTATTGCTTATATATTTACTCAAAGCATTAGTCGAGATATAAAGGGGAAAGTATGGAGCATTCTTGAGTAATGTAAACCAAAACGCAAATCTATGTTATACTATCACCATTTTTCTTAAAATATTCTTAGCTGTTCTGACATTATTTCTTCCCCTTCTTTCTCTTATATGTTTTTTTTTTTACTCGTTCCTTCTTTACTTTCGACTTATCAACATTTTCAAATCTTCAATTTCAACCTGAATGTAAATCCAGAAAAAGATCTAGTTTTCTGCTTTTTCTGACGCATCTTATATCTTCAAACTAGAGAGAATTTGTACATGGGACAAGATATTCATTTTATTGTCAAAGAAATGGAAATAAGATGAGATTTCTAGAATAAATTTGAAAGTAAATAGATGTTTTAAAGAAGTAATATTAAAAATTTTAAACTAGATAAGATCACTACTACTACTACTACTACTACTACAGTATTCTCTCTTATAAATTCTATATATATATTTTACTCTTTTATTTTTGTATTTTTGAATTTAAATCATTTAAGAATTTATTCTTTACACGCAATAAATTCATTTAATAATATTATTACGAGTTTATTACTATTTATTCTTTTATAATATCACGTTTAAAGAAGGTTGGCATTTAATTAAGTTTTAACGCTATAATAAATAAATAAAAAATAAAATAAATTACTTGCAGAATCAATAGGAAAGAGGGGGAGGAGGAGGAGGAGGAGGAAAAAACGTGCAAGTGAACGGTCGACAAATTTGACAATATGGATCTAGAATAAAATAGATGGGAAATAGGATAAAGTTGTTTTGTTCGACAAGACCGAGTTAACAGGAGGTTAGGTATTCAACACAACTGACCAGTTAGTTGGAGAAGTGAGCAACCCCCACAGGAGACCCCATTATGTTATAAAACTCCACCCCCCTCCTCCTCCTCCTCCTCCCGCACCGTTGAATATGGGAGAACATCGACAATGAAGAGGTACAGATTCATTGTGTTTCAACCCTCCTCCTCTTCAATAGAAAAATAAACTGTTCCGTCTGAGGAATAAAAATAAGAGATAAATAAGACGTTTCTCACCTCCTCCTCCCCGTTTTAAGAATTTAAATTTTTATTATTTTATTAATTTTACTTTTTTAATTAAATATTCGAATTTTCATGGTAGAAATAGCATGACATTTTGGGTTATCGTCAAAATGTTGATATGGTGACAGCTACTGTATTGTAATACTCGTGTAAAAGACGGGTCATTTGCACTGGTTTGGGAATATTCTGTCGTTAACGATGTTGCTAACGACTTTCAAAGTTTAGCAGTTGGAAGAATGTCAAGTTGATCTAACGACTACCATTAAAATTTGACCAACGGCGACCCTACCTCTCTTTAAATCTAAACGATTATGTAATTGTCCCAAGTATAATTATATCTAATTTTTATATATAAAAATTTTGCAATGGAATTTACGTTTATTACGTTATAAATAGTAAATTATTTATGGTAATTTTTATAAATAATTATGAAATTATACTATAAAATGAATTTATTAAATTTTCACGTGTAATGGTTGTAAAAGTTGACAACAGATGGCGATAAATGTCTATCGTTAAATTTTAAAATAATATTTATGATGTTTTTAAGAATTTTCACGTAATATATTCTAAAATATTACGTGAAATAATATATATATATTTTTAATTTATTTTGAAATTTAATTAAATAAAACAATTTAAATAAAAACAAATTTTAAAAAAATAACAAAATAAATTATTTTATATTTTCACTTTTAATTAATAGTATATTTAATCAGTTATTATATGCTAATATTAACCTATTTTTGTTTATAAAATTCGTTTTTTTTTAAAATATATTCAGCTAACAAGTTGTTAAGTACGTGGCGCCATCTATTGCTATAAAATGATTGTTATTACATAAAAATTTATGTTTTTAAATATTTAAAAATACAATAAAATTTTTAAAATATTATAGATTTAAACTAAAAGTATGATGATTTATTATAATTTAAATCTTACTAAACAATTAAAAAATTATATTAAAAAATGGATATAATTAAACATTAATTTCATTTAAATAAATGAAATACTGTAATTGCGTGAATAGTATAAAATCGCGCCATCTGTGGAGATAAATAACAAACTTTTTCAATGAAGGAATTTTTAAACAATATATTACTATAAAATTTATATTTTTACGTGCATATTCGATAGAGAATAACTTTAAAAAACAATAAATTATTCTCGAATATCCAAATTGTTATTGTGTGCTCATTATCATTAATTTTTATTATTATTATTATTTTTTTTAAATTAATTAGCCAAAGGAACTGTCTAAAAGAACATAAAATCATTCCATTTTAATTAAATTACTTATTTTAATTTTATAAATTAAAAAAAAATTGATAGTAATAAATTAAACGTGTGAAAATTTAATATAAAATATACGTTTCACACGTAAACAAAAGATTAAAGACGAAACTGTGATTTAATGTTTCATCTGCACGTAATAAAAGACGAAACTTTGCCATCACTTTTTAAATATTATTTAAATTAAAATTGTTTAAAGAATGATTTCTTGCTCATTTTTCATGTTTTACTGTAAACAAATTCTTTTTATCTTAACACAATAACTAAAATTTACATTTATTTATAATACGGTAATTAAATGCTCGTATTGTGAGCTTACGTGTGTTTATGAATGCAGATCAAAGATTACTCTTTATTGGGTTGTAATTTAAAAGCATTGTAGACCTATAAATTTCTACTATCTGTCTTCCTTTAATATCGAGAATGGTTTTAGATAGATGAAAATTGACACCAGATACAGAAAGCTTAAGGGTGGAAGACCCCCAATTGTAAATTGGTAGAAATGTTGTTATGTTTACTGTAATAATATTATGACAGATGACCAATTTGTATGTAACTCGGCTTGTAAGAAGACGTACCATTAGGTATTTGAAAATATTCACAACACATTCACGAATGTAAGAAACAGATCTTCTACATTTACCAAATATGTGTAGTAAATACCGACTGTTGCTGTTTTATTATTCACATTCACAGTAGTTTATATTTAGAAATGTACAGTACTAGGCATTACTAGCCATAACAGTTTTATTCCATTATCGTATTATTATATTATCCCCTGACAATGTCGGTGCTTAGGCTAATAATGCAATATACAACGTATATTCAGTGGTGATATTCGAAATATTCAACAAAGGGTTCGCTAACAGAAAATTTGTCCTTAGCAATTTTTTTTTTCGCTCAAATGGTGCATTAGCAACATTAGCGCAAAAACCGACCTTAAGATATCCACATAAATAAAAAAGATGCGTTCGCAAAATTAAGTCAGTTAAAATTTAACATTGTTTATGCCAGAACTATATATTTTTTTTTTTATAAATAATAAAAAAGAGTGTTCAAAATGGTTTATTTTGTACATATTTTAATATTTTTCATTCAAAATATTTTATAAACATAAAAATTGGCTTTTT